GGGCACTCCCTGGGGTTGTGCAGATGGAAGGTTTACAAGGAGGAGGGTGGGGCAGGGAGCTCTCGGCAAGAGGAGAAGGGATTATCTCCCGGTTGGAAGGTCTGATTCTCGTGGGGAAGAGGCAGGGGAGGGTTTCCATCAAGGGGATTGCCTCTTCTTTCGTGGGGGGTGGAGGGGACCCATGTGACCGGTTACCTTCCCGGAGCTGGCCCAGGAAACTCCAGACTGGCTGGTGGAGACTACACTTCGGGGAAAGGTGCGATTAGGTCAGGTCTGAGGTGGCTTTGGGGCCTGTGGTTTTCTCTTCAGCAGCTCTGACCACAGAGGTCTGTTGTATGGGACGGGGCTGGGACTGGGGGCAGCACGGAGAGAAAGATGCAGGGGAGGGTGGTCCCCGCTGTCCTGCGTCAGCCTACAGGGGGAGAGCAAGGCTTACCGAGGATGCTCCTTAGGAGGAAGCAGCAACAAAAGCACCTGGATTAAGATGAGTGGGGCGCCCTATCCGGTGTGGCTCAGTGGATAGAGCGTCGGCCTGCAGACTGAAAGGTCCCAGGTTCGATTCCGGTCAAGGGCATGTACCTTGGTTGTGGGCACATCCCCAGGAGGGGGTGTGCAGGAGGCAGCTGATGGATGTTTCTAACTCTCTATCCCTCTCCCTTTCTCTCTGTAAAAAAAATCGATAAAACATATATTTTCTTAAAAAAGATGAGTGGGGAACCATCCCAATAAACATATTTTGGATTTTTTTTTTAAAAACAAACACCTAGCCGAGATGGGTTTGGCTCAATGGATAGAGCGTCGGCTTGGGGACTGAAGGGTCCCGGGTTCGATTCTGGTCAAGGGCATGTACCTTGGTTGCGCGCATATCCCCAGTAGGGGATTTCGATTGCCACGAAAGAAGAGGCAATCCCCTTGATGGAAACCCTCCCCGGCCTCTTCCCCACGAGAATCAGACCTTCCAACCGGGAGATAATCCCTTCTCTTTTGCAGCTGATCAATGACTCTCTCTCATCGATGTTTCTAGCTTTCTATCTCTCTCCCTTCCTCTCTGTATAAAATATATATTTAAAAATAAATAAATAAATAAAATAAAAAATAAAAACAAACACCTAGACATTTCAAAGGCAGGCCATGTGATGTTCTGGTTAAAATGGTAGGTGTGAACAAAATGATGAATAAAGGAGTGGGGGTGGGGGAAAGGGGTAGGAAGCTCTGCAACTTGCTCTGCTCTGAGATCTTGGACCAATCACAGTGCTGCCTTGTGCCTCATTATTCTGATCTGTAAAATGGGAGGACGAATCCATCACAGGATCAATGAGATAAAGAGAGGGAGCCTTCCAGAACACTGTGTGGCACCAGGAGGTGCTCCATCGGTGTGCGTGACTGCAGTCTAGGCAGGAGACCAGAGCCTGGAAAGGCATCTGTCCAGCCTTGGCCTCCACACAATGCCCAACAGCAGACCCTGCAGAACTCCCTAAAAGCGGACACCACCCCCCATGGCCTCTCCACGGAGCCTGCCCACACCAGCCAGGTCACCACAGGCCCTGTCTCCTGCACACAGAAGTGGAGGCTTCAACATCTGGGCGGACTGCCACTTGCCACAGAGCACCCTTGGGCAAGGTGCTTTCGCAACGTCCCCAGCTTCTGCTTTCTCGTTTGTCAAAACAGGAACGCCAAAACCCATCTGCTCGGGGTGCTATGGGGACTGTGTGCCTGGCACTGGGCTGGTCCTTCCCCTCCCTCGCCCCCTGGCCCTGCCCATCCCCACCAGGCGGATTGGAGAGCAAGAGCCACCAGGTTCCAGGGTCCCTGACCTCCCTGGCTCTGACACCCAAACCGTGAGCCACGCTCACACCTTCTGCGAAAACCGGCTGGAGAGCGCCCTCCAGGAGCTTCTGTCTGTCACAAGCTCTGTGCCAGAGTGACTGGCCTGAGTCCTAATGTGACCCCCGCGGGAGCAGACCCCCCAGGAGCAGACGGCGGCAGCCTGAGTGCTAGGCAAAGTCCGGACCTGTCGGGGGTTGGGGTGGGGTGGGAGGTGGGGTCCCCATCCCATTTCCGTCCCCATCGTTAGGCATGTGGCTGGTCATCCAAGGAGTCCCTGGCACAGTGCCAGGGGGCCGTTAGAAGGTAGATAGGTGTAGGGAGCAGCTAGGGTCAAGCCTCCGCTGACCTGTGGCAGGGCCACACACACACACACAGCCTGGAGGGCAGAGCGCTCCTAGCATTGTTAAACCTGACCTTGTAGCTCTCCCTAGTTCCTTCCTAAGCATCTAATGGGCTGTGGGAGGTGCAGCAAGTGTTGCCAAAACAAGAACCTAAGTATACACGTTAATCTACCCTTGTTTTAATCAGACTATAAGATAGCTCGAGGGCTGAGTCTTTTGTGTCCTCATCCAGGTGGGGCTCGGTGAGATCTTGGTAAACTGTATTCCCTTTGCCTCCTATAATCCTTCACCGACCCTCTCTGAAATCAGTAAAGAAGAGAGGCTCCGTTACCTGGGAGAGGTGAGAATTTCAGAATGACTGATACTTCTGAAAGCTGTTCCACATTTCGAAGAGATGTTTGCCAGGAGATTCACAGAAGATGACAAAGAATACCAGGAATGCCTGAAGCACCCTCCAGCGACCCCTCCAATCACGGAGGATTGGAACAGCAGAGCTGGTGGGGGCAAAGAAACAGAGGCAACTGGTTACAAGAACAGACAGTATAGAGGTAGGGGCAGCAGACAGGAGTGGCCAAGTGACAATCCATCCAATCAATGGCACGGACGCCCCTGGGGTAACCATTACCGCCCTCACCAGCATGGAAATGATGGCGATAACCAACGGTCTCCCTACGGTTCCTACTGATAGAAACGTCAGCAGCCTTTACTAAAATGGTTTACTTTGTTAACAAGAAAAAAATAAATAAATTTTAAAAATAAATAAACAAAACATGCCCTCACCCTCGTGTTGCTTGCACGATCGTAGGGGTGACCTTGGATGTGGGGGATGGCCAGGTTGGAAGCACAGCTCTATCGTTGACCTCGCGTCACCTCGATTCTCTGTGCCCTCATTTCTCAACAATAAAAGGAGCCATACACTCAGGTCAGAGGATGTGAGGATTACATGCATTGGTACATGGGAAATACATATAGTGCCTACTGTGTGCGCTGGCAGCACACACATGACTACCCTGTTTCCCCCAAAATAAGACAGTGTCTTATATTAATTTTTTTTCTCCCAAAGTTGCGCTAGGTCTTATTTTCAGGGGATGTCTTATCTTTCCATGCGCTAGGTCTTATTTTTTGAGGATGTCTTATTTTCGGGGGAAACAGGGTAGTGCACTAAGGGAGCTGTGGGGTAACCCGGCAAAACATGATGGCGAGGCTGGGCTGCACCGGCCAATGGGACAGGCGCGTTCTGAGGAGGGCGGTCCCCTGGAAAGAGCTGGGTGTATTGGGAGCCAGAGGAAAGGGTGAGGAGTGACGACAGGCTGAGAGGGACCCTGGGAATTACTGCTGAGGGTTTTAAGGACCAGGGTGGCAGCTTTAAAGGACTTGTTTCCCTTTGTGTGTGTGGCAATGAGGCAGCTCAGTAAATCCCATCTTCCCCAAACCGAGGCGATGGCAGAAACCCAATGAGTGCTACTGCCAACCACACCCAAGGACAGACGCCGCTAAGAGAATGCACCCCACGTTAGCACATCAGCACAGAGCAGAGGAACATCCTATAGAGATGCTCCCCAAGACCACCCCTAAACGCCCAGCCTCTAAAACCCCTAAAAAAGGAGGTCTTGCCTCCAGCTCTGCCTTCCAGAAGCAGCCTGCACCTTCCTCTCTCCCTTCTCCTCCCCTCCACCCTCCTCAGGCACACATCCACTAATAGTCCCCAGCAGCCTTGCAGTCAGGGCAGCCATGGGCAGTGGCAGCTCATCCCATGGTAACCCTCCGAACCGGTCCCGAGGCCCCTTTTTTCTTCTCGGTGAGCCAAAGCAGACCAGCCCAGAACCACCTCCCAGTCTTCCTCGTGTCACTGCCCCCAGCTTTAATCACCGTCCTCTAGCCTCCCCCAGACTCACGCTATGGAATGTTCCCCGCACAAAGTCGAGAACTCACACACTGCCGTCTGGCCCTTTGCCCAGGCAGGCCCCGCTCAGGGCCAGGCACCCATTCCAGCAGCAGAAACGCGACACCCATGTGCCTGTTCATGCCAGTCGCCCCAGCCCCAGGCACGGAGGTTAGGGTGACTCCCTGCAGACCCACTGGCTTCCAGGTCACTAGGGGCCTTTAAATCTGCTGGCTGTCTGCAAGGAGTGGGGCAGGGGAGACTGAGGGAGGACTGACGGGAGGACTTGCCTTCTCCCCGCTCACACGGCCCCCATGAGTCAGGTGTGCATGGACTTGAACTGAGTGTTGTGAACGTTCAACCGCGAGCGCAGCGACCAAGTGCAGTGCCCTGTCCGCAGCATGTTCTCCATAAGCGTCACCTTTCCCTTCTTAGAATCTCCACCCTCGCCAGCAGGCTGGGAGGGCGGACGGCGGGCGGGGGAGGTGGCTGGCCACAGACTCTTGCGAAGCAGAGAAGGTGTTTCAGTTACATCAGCACCGGCAAAGGGCAAACCCTCCGGACCCCGGTCCCCCTATCCGTAGCCTGAGGCGGGGGGAGGGTCCCAGGGCGGGAATGGGGCGCCGTAGCTCCACCGGAGGGCAGAGGGCCCCTGGCTACACGCACCTGCGAGAGTAACACGGGAACTGCCTTCCACAAGCTGGGTCCACGCGTGCCCATCCCTGGACTGCGGGGTTGTAGCCCCGTGAGAGCTGGAGGTGGGGTGCATCTCTGCACATCCCGGGGGCCAGAGCCCGGGGCGGCAGCAGCAGCGGCAAGTCCGCAGCCTTGGCACCCGGGGCCTGTGGGCGGGACTCACGCGGGACCCGGCATCCACTCCCACCCACGCCCCTGCCCTGCCCCGCGGCCCCGGGTCCCACCCACGCGGGCGCTCCCGGAGCCTCGGGGCCGCCGGGGGGGCGGGGCCCGCCCCTTTCATGTGCGCCGGCGCCGCGCTGATTGGACGGCCGCTTGTGACGTCGGGGACTGCGGGCCCCGCCGCTGCGGCAGCCGCAGGGCCGGCGCGGCCCCGGCTCCGGCTCGCGGGCACTTAAAGGGGACGCGGCGGCCGGGCGGGGGGGATGGAAGGCAGGTGGAGGGGACGGCCCACACGCACATCCTCCGCGGCCCCTCCGCACCGGAGGCACTCGTGAGCCGGGGCCCCGAGATCCGAGGGCGGGCAAGACACCGCGTCCCGTCCCCCCCCCCCCCCAATTCCCGTAAGCGCACCCCCGGCTGCATCCTGCGCCCCAATAATCTCCGCGAGCCCCCCTCTCCACTCTCCGCGCTCCAAACTCAGCCGGGACAGACTCCTGCCGCCGCCGCTCCGCGCGTGAGTCCGGGGTCGCCCCGGGGGGCTGGGGTCCGGGTGCGGAGTGGGGGGCCGTGGAGAGTTTGAGGGCAGCGCTCCTTCCCGCGGGTGTCGGCGGGGGAGTCCCGGGGACAGAGGAATGCCCCCCCCCCTTTCCCCTGCCCCGGAACGCGCTGCGATGCCCGGGTGGACCCGCCGTCCCCGGCTCGGCCAAAGCGAAAGGGCCGGTGCCCCGCGCTCCCCGCCACCCGCCAGCCCCCTGGGCGCTCCGGGCTGCGCACCCTCCGCCCGCAGTGGAGGGGAGAGCCCGCCAGCTGGGGGGGTGCCAGCGTGCCTGCCTGGCAGCACCTCTAAAAATATCTCTCCCCCCACCGCGTCCCCCCCGGCAGCTGCCGCCTCCCTGCCCAGTGAGGATCCCCTCTCCGCAGGGCAAGCCCAGAGGTGACGCCAGGTCCCCGCGTCCTCCCTGGCACCGGGGCCGGGTCACCGCCTCCCCCTGGACAGGGCAGCAAGCTCAGAGTCCACGGTGGGGGGAGAGGGGGGCTCCGGGGCGATGAGGGAAGCTCTGGCTGCAATTTTAATATATATGGTTCTTATTGACTTTTAGAGAGAGAGGGAGAGGGATAGATAGGAGAGAGAAGCATCACCTATGGCTGCCTCCTGCACGCCCCCTACTGGAGACCCAGAGGACGACCCAGGCAGGTGCCCTGCACAGGAATCTAACCAGTGCCCTTTTGGTTCATGGGTCCGCGCCCAGCCACTGAGCCACACTAGCCCCGCATCCGGCTGCAATGTTGTTGGTAAAAGTCCTCACCCAGGGGTTTTTAGACAGTGGAAGGGAGAGAGAAACTCCGATGTGAAAGAGACACATCGATGGGTGGCCTCCCGCACCAGCAACTCAGGCACCTGCCCTTGACCAGAACCACCTAGTGCTCGAGTCTGAATTCTGGTGATGGATACAAGGAAACCTCGTCTGTTGTTGTTGTTGTTAATCCGAATCTGATTTTTAGTGATTAATACCAGGAGGCCTGACCTTTTTGTTGTTGTTAATCTGATTTCTAGTGATTACTACGTGGAGACCGGATCTTTTTTGTTGTGGTTAATCCTCACCTGAGGACAGGTTTCCTCTGTTTTTTTGTTTGTGTTTTTGTTAATCCCCGCCTGAGGCTAAGTCTCCACTGATTTATAAGGAGAGTGGCAGAGAGAGACAGAGAGAGACTGAGAGAAATCTCAGTGAGAGAGGAACCAGCGGACTGATTGCCTCCTGCACAAGGTGCCAGGGAGGAGCCTACAACCGAGGTATGTATCTTTGGCAGGAATCGAACCGGGGACCCTTAGGTCCTCAGGCCGAAGCTATTTGCTGAGCCAAACCATTGATCGGCTGCCTCCTTGACGGGAATCAAACCTGGGACCCTTCAGTCCAAAGGCTGACGCTCTATCCACTGAGCCAAATCGGCTAGGGCCAGGCCCCGCTTTTAGCTGGGACTAGCTATGGACTGACTCCCTGTCGCCCTGAAGAAGCCTTTCTCTCCTCTCTCTGCTCTAGCCTGCCAGAGGAGCTCAAGCTGCTTTGATTTGAGGAGACCCTGTGCTGCTTTGATTTGAGGAACTCTTCCGGGCGACACAAAATGATTTGATCATCCAGGACAAAGCTGCTCTAGAGGTGAGTAACGTAAACATTGTGGGAGCCAGATTCCAGGGGGGGCCCAGGGCCCCTCTGACTCCTGTGGGGCCGGGCCAGGGCTGGGGAGTCACAGTGTAGCTTTCTCTGTTTCCAGGGGAAGAAACCCAGGATGCCTGGCTTTCTGCTCTGGGGACTAAAAGAAACGAGGGCAAAAATAATAATTTTTTAACGGATTTCCCTAAATACCATTATTTGCGGGGGTCTGATGCAGCGGGGATCTCCCTTTTCCGCATCCGGCATGGAAAGAGAGATGAATGAACTGGTTCTAAGTGGAGGCGGCCAGGAATTGAGAAATTAGAAATAGAGAAGGCACAGAGATTTCAAGCTGGGAGCTGGCTGGGTCGCCATACTGTCTGCTGGAGAGGCAGGAAGATGAGCCAAGCCATTGAGCCAAACCAGCTAGGGCAAGAGTAACTGTCTTTTACTATAAGAAATGAGAAGTGTTGAGGATTGTTAGATCAGTAGAATGCTCCACCAAATTATAAAAAGGTAAAGGCAAAGTGAGGAGACCTTTTCTAGGAGGTAAAAGGATTAGCCGGGATTCTGGAAGCTGGAACTCCCTCCAGATAAGGCCAAGGGAGAACTCCCACCCTCCAAAACCTGTTAATTCCTCCTCCCTGTACCTCCCTCCCATCACCTCTGCCTTGTCTCCTCCCACTCCCTCCTTCTTTTGCCCACTGCCCATTTAGCTTTGACCACTGCTCCCAGTTCCTAGATTAAAAGTTCCTAGAGAAAGGGGTTTCGTGCATGTGTGGTACCCTCCCTCCGACCGGAGTCCTGCTCCTGGGGTGTCCCAGTCTCTGTCTTGGGGGGGGAAATAGCTTCTCCCTGCACCCTGGGATGGTCGGGGAGAGTGTCACCTTGACAGGCAGAGGTGTTTCCAGTGTCACACCCATTGTCACCACCAGAGGGCAGCAGCCAGCCAGCTCTCTGCTCCTCATCTAGTCTTCCTGGCTCTGTCTCTTTCCAGATCTGTCCCAGATGCCTCTGGCCTCTTATTCAACCCCAGGGTGGATGGGACCAGGGGTAGAGAAGGGCGCTGGGAGCCGCAGGTGGTATCCTTTATAGCCACGTCAGTAAAGGCCTGTCCCCAAAGCTACATGGCAAAGTCCAGCGGAAATGTCAATCTGACTCTCCAGGCCCAGATCACCTGCCCGCTGGCTGTGGTGCAGGAGGCCCGATCACCTTCCCCTTCCCTTGGGAGGACAGAGGGCAGGCAAGGCTGTGGCCAGGTGCTCCTGATCCAGGCTCTGCCCCTGGGACCAGCATGGCCCTGGGCAGGGTATCTAACCTCTGTGAGCCTTTCCCATTTGCTGAGTTCATGGCACTGATGAGCAGTGAGACAATCTGAGTGAAGGTGGTCTGTGAACTATGCTGTACCGTACTCAGAGGGACAGGATTATATAGAGAAAAAAAGCACGGGTCTCAGTCAGATCTGTTTTCGATGCTGTTGATAATCAGTAAATTTTTCCCATTGATTTTTTTTTTTTTTTTTTTTTTAGAGTGTGGGAAGGAGGGAGGGAGAGAGAGACATAAACCGTTGCCTCCCAACCTCGCTCTGACCAGGGCCGGGGAAGAAACCTGCAACCCAGGAACATGCCCTTGACCGGGAATCAAATCCTCCACCCTCTGGTGTGGGTGCTGATGCTCTAACCACAGAGCCACACCAGCCAGGGCTTGGGCCTGGTTTTGAATCGGTCGGCCGTTTACAGTGGTGGCCTTTGAGCAAGCCAGTTCCCCTCTCTGGGTCTCCAACTCTATCAACCATAGCCTCTCCTGCATCCTAGCGGTTTGCTGAGAGGACGCCCATCTCTGTAAGCACGCTGCCCAGCTGAGGGGTTCTCTCAGCTCCTGGGGCCCCGCCACGGGGATAAGGCTGGTGGTAGTAGTGGGGGAACAAAGCCAGCCGCAGGGCCTCACACGGACCCTGTGTGGTTGGCAGGAGCTCTGGACAACGCCTAGAGCCCAGCAGTGCCTGCGGGGGTGCACCAACAATGAGCGGGTGTTTTCCAGCGGCGGGCCTGCGGTGCCTGTCTAGGGTAAGTGGGTCCCCCTAGAGGCCTCTTAGGGGAAGGCCTCAGCGGCCACGTTTCAATCAGGGGGTGGCCCCCTTTAGGCTTGCCCTCGCCTCTACTGGGCCTCTGATCCCTAGAAGCTTCCATCCCAGTCCAGGGCTCCTGATGCTTTACATCCTCAACTGCAAAGACCCTGGACCACTGAGACTCCCGGGTGGATGTTGCCAAGACCCGCGGGTGGCCCCAGGATGAGGTCTAAAGGACAGCTACATTAGGGAGCCGGGTTCGGATCCCAGCTCTGACATGAGGAGCCTGGCCTTCTGTGTCACAGGGTGTCCCAGGCCATGAGCATCCCAGAAATCTTCGGGCGTTAGGAAGACACCAGAAAGAGGGGAGGTTCCATCTGGACTGATGGTGGAGGCTGGAAGGAGGCGGGGACTGGCTGCCAGGGCTTCTGCCTCCCTGTGTCTGCCTTTCCCTGTGCCCTCGCACTGGCCCTGCTGTCTCCATCCTCTCCCATGTCCTCTGTCAACACGGCGGACCCAGGGTCTCCACTTCCTAGAGCTCCTCACCCCCACCCGCACTCTGTCTTCCTGTCCAGTCTGTCTCCACGCTCCCCCATCATCACTTCCTCCTCGTCCCCTTTCCCCCGCCGCTGCCTCCTACCCCGGTGTCCGCACTCCCTTCCTCACCTCTTCAGCCGCTGCTGCTCTCTCCCCCCCTTACCTGCCTCAGGTGTGCCGTGGCCTGGCGCGGGCCTCCACCTCCCCAAGCCCCATTGCTTCTGCCGCTCGCTTGCTCCGGACTCTGGCACGAACCCCACCCGCTGACACCGTCCTTCCGGGGAACTGGCAAGTGACTAGTGACGAGCTGTCAGCACAGGCCCCTAACACTCCCTGGACCCCGGCCCAGAGCCATCTGGCTGGAAGCCGCTCCCAGAGAGCCTGCCTGATCCTCGGCCTCGCGGGTTGTTCTGAGCTGAATCCCTGCTCCCCGGCCGGTGCCGAGGCCCGGCGCCTGCTCCCCAGGCCCGAGGTCTGGCACACGCCATCCCGTGCTCTGCATGGTGTCAGCGAGTCTTCCCCAGAGACCAGCTCCTTCTTGCCCACCACAGTCCACGGCCATCGGCCCAGAGGCCGTTGTAGGGGCTGTTCCCTCTGAGTGAGCGGACGGTTTCCCGGACACTTTGTTAGGGAAGAAAGGCGTGGGGTCCCCTCTGCCCTCCCTGTATCCACACCAACAAACGTGGGCTCAGAAGTTTCTAGAAAGTCTAGTCCAGAAGCCCCAGAGGGTGTCTGTCCCCTTTTCCAAACTGAAGTCCCAACGCCCCCCGGATGAGAGGAGCAGACACAGGTGCCAAAGAAGCCCTCCTGGGCTCCAGAGGAGGCTGGTCCTCTGAGGCTAAACCCCAGTTAGCTTAGTTGCCAGGCGCGGGTGGGTAGGGAGCCGGGGTGGAGGGTGGAGCTGGGGGCCGCGGCGTGGGGCGCTCCTCCCGCTTAACCAGCCTTGGGTCCTCCTTCAGGTCTTGGATGTGCCCGCGCCTCTGGCCGAGGCCCGCTAACCAGCCTGTCCCGGGCCGGCGCCCGCTCTCGCTTGCCCCCTCCTCCTCCTCCTGCTGCTCTTCCCCCTCCTGCTCCCAGGGCGGCGGCGGGATGGCCGCGCAGGGCGCGCCGCGCTTCCTCCTGACCTTCGACTTCGACGAGACGATCGTGGACGAGAACAGCGACGACTGGATCGAGCGCGCGGCGCCGGGCCAGCGGCTGCCGGAGGGGCTGCGCGCCACCTACCGCGAGGGCTTCTACAACGAGTTCATGCAGCGCGTGTTCCAGTACCTGGGCGAGCAGGGCGTGCGGCCGCGGGACCTGCGCGCCGTCTACGAGGCCATCCCGCTGTCGCCGGGCATGGGCGACCTGCTGCAGTTCGTGGCCAGGCAGGGCGCCTGCTTCGAGGTCATCCTCATCTCGGACGCCAACACGTTCGGCGTGGAGAGCTCGCTGCGCGCCGCCGGCCACCTGGGCCTCTTCCGCCGCATCTTCAGCAACCCGGCCGCGCCCGACGCGCGCGGGCTGCTGGCGCTGCGGCCCTTCCACGCCCAGCACGGCTGCGCGCGCTGCCCCAGCAACATGTGCAAACACAAGGTGCTCGGCGACTACCTGCGCGAGCGCGCGCGCGACGGCGTGCACTTCGAGCGCCTCTTCTACGTGGGCGACGGCAGCAACGACTTCTGCCCCGCGGGGCTGCTGGCCAGCGGCGACGTGGCCTTCCCGCGCCGCGGCTACCCCATGCACCGCCTCATCCAGGAGGCGCAGAAGGCCGAGCCCGGCTCCTTCCGCGCCACCGTGGTGCCCTGGGAGACCGCGCACGACATCCGCCAGCACCTGCAGCAGGTGCTCAAGGCCAGCTGAGGCGGCCGCCAGCAGGGGGCGCCGCGGCGAGGCGTGGGGAAGGGAGAACTATCGGGAAAGACAAATCTATAGTTTTGTAACTTCCTTGCCCTTTCGCTTTGGTATGCCCACCCCCCCCACACACACACACACACCCTGGGAATTTTTAGAAATTGTAGGCCCGTGCATTCGGGGGGTGAAGGAGGGAGTGCAGAGCATCCCAACTATCCATGCAGTTCAGCTCTGGAGGGCAGCCCCAACCCGGGGGATGCGCGTTCCTGAGAAGGTGGCGGCGTTTCCTAAAAGCTCATCCGTCCTCTGGCCTGGGAGGAAGAGGCTTCCTTGCAGGCGAGAGAACGTTAAGCTGCCGCCGGGCCCGTAACCGCCCCACTCCCATCCTTAGGTCAAGAAAGCTTCCCGCATTGGACTCCCCGCGGAAAAAGGGGAAGCTTTCCGCCCGCAGCCCCAGGCCTAGGTCTCGCTTTGCCTTCCGCGATCCCACACTACATACACCCCTTTTCTTGCCTCCCTTCCTCGCCCATCCGGCCAGTGACCCCAAAGGAAGAAAAGCCAGATGGAACAGTCGCCTCCTGGTGGTGGAACGAGGTAGCACACTGTCCGGCTCGGGTTGGAGCAACCGGGAACCTCGCAGCGGTGCCTGCCTCGGTGTCTTCGCACCCCAGCCTCGTCTACGCAACAAGATCAGGGACAACCAAGGCCACCCCCGTGGGCTGGGCCCTCCGCGGCCCCCTCCTCTCCTATGGAACAGAAAGCCATGATGTTTTAAAGCAGAGCCAGCGAACCCCGAGCCCTCCTCTTTGGTGTGTTAGAGCTATTAAAGCAGGTGAAGGAGGAGTCACTGAGATCTCTGGCGCTGCAATCGGAGGGGGGAGGGTGAGAGAAAGAGGGAGGGGAAGGCGGTCTCTGCTCTTAGGGAGCCCCACTTATGTGAGGGGTTGGTCCCACCTTTTTAAAAATTTTTATTGACTAGAGAGCAAAGGAGAAGGAGAGAAAGATGCATGATGAGCGAGAATCATGGATCAGCTTCCTCCTGCATGCCTCACACTGCGGATAGAGCCCTTGACCGGAATTTAACTCGGAACCCTTCAGCTGCAGGCCGACTCTATCCACTGAGCCACACCAGCTAGGGCTGGACCCCAGCTTGAGGAATCCAGGCTGAATGCACAGCAGGCAAAGAACGGGGTGCGGTCCCTCTGCAGGGGGCATCAGGGGGTCCAGTATAGAGGGGGGGTGCAGGGGACTCTATAATTAGGAGCCTTAGAACTGAAATGCTCCCCCATTCCGCCCCCAGCCCTCCAGGGCAGTCATCAGGAGTTCATCAGTTTTATTCAAAGTTGCCACTTGCAGCTGGAGACCCCCCTCCATGGGATAGGGTCCGTGTGGACGGGGTCACCAAACGCCTTGGCTTCCGGTTCTCTCCTGCCGGCAGCAGGCCTCCGGGCACCCCTCAGTCCAGCCCGGCTTGGCCTCGGAGCTGGCTTCTGCCCGGGCTCGGAGTTCCCGCGGAAGGAGCCGGCCGTCTGTCAGCAGCTGGGCGCCACGTAGTTGCCCGGGAAGAAGCCGGCGCCCTCCGCGGTGACGCCCTCGCACCAGCCGTCGGAGTAGCGGCGGGTGATGCAGATGACCGTGCCCTCCGGGAAGGAGAGCTCGTTGTCCTTCTGGCCGGCGTACGGGTACAGCGTGACCACTGCGGGGGGAGAGGGCGCCCTGAGAGCCGCCTCCTGCCAGCCGCGGCGACAGGGAGGGGCCTGCGTGGTTCTGGGTGCGAGCGGTGGGGCCAGAGGTGCCTTCTCCCAAGCCCTGAGGACCGGACCCTTCCCTGGCCCAGTGCACAGTGCAGGCCAGCTGCTGCCTTCCCAGCTTGGTTCTGAACGCTGGGTAAACATTTGCTCTGTTCACCAGGAAATTGGGGCGGGGGCAGGCTGGGGGGGTTGACAGGAGGCCCAGAATGCGTCTGGGGTAGAAGGGGAGCCCTGGTGGTGGGACCTGGTGTCCTCCAGGCCCAGAAAGAGACCTACCTTTCTCCAAGTACGAAGCAGGAGCCCAGCTGGGCTCCTCGGGCCCAAAGCCTGGTGGAGGCGGGGGCGGCAGTTCCAGTTCGGCCACGTCCAGGACTGGCGGAGGGGGCAGGTCCAGGGGCGGGGGCAGGTCCAGGGGCGGGGGCAGCTCTGGGGCTGGGAGGGAAAAGGTCTGTGGTGTGGCACCGGGAACCCCCTCTCCTCCACTCACCCCAGGAAACTGCTGCCCACGAGGCGGGCACCGGGGTCTGCCCAGCTTATGAACCCTTCCTCCAGCCCTGCCCATCCTGGTCCTCCCACGACCCCTCCAGCGCAGAGGAGGTCTCAGTAAACGCGAACCTTCGCCCCATGTGGGGCAGTCAGACTGCCGCTTACTGGGCTGGTAACCGTTGGGCAACTCCCCTAACCTTTCACCCTCAGCGCCGCCTGTTAGACGGGTGTGACATCCTCTCAGGGTCAGAGTTAAGTGAGAAAATGGGTGAGAAGCTTCCCTGGTCCAGAGCGGGCCCTAAACTGGTTCGCCTCCGCCTCCTCCCTCCTCTCACCGGGGTGGGCCGGGTCGGTCCGGGAGGGGTGGGGAGGGTGCTGGGCGGTGAGTCCCTTACCCGGAGGGGGCGGCAGGCCGCTGTCGGAGGCCGGCGGAGGGGGTGGGGCGGTGCAGCTGGGGAGCGGAGGGGGCGGGGGTGCTGCCTGCCCCTTGGGCGTGGAGGCCCCTCCGGCGCCGTCAGCGCTGCTGGAGGTCAGAGAAAGCGGGGTCCTTCAGTTTGGGGGACCCCTTCCCCAGCTGGCCCCGCCCTGTGACCCCAGTAGTCTTGGTGACAGCTGGCAGGAGGCCCGTTGGGGGACTCACCCAGCAGAGGCCAGGGAGGAGGCGGAGGAGGCGGCGGAGAGTCTGCCGTCAGGCACCACCGGGAGCTGCACGGGCTCCGGGATCCGGGGTGCGCGCCTGGGGGGGAGGGGAGGGTGTGGTCAGTGCGGGGAGGAGGGGGCATGGAGGGGAAGGGCGATCATGTGAGACCCTGTTGGGTCCGGGGAGGCCTCACCCCAGAGCCGCAGAGGTGGGTGTGGCAGGCGCCTTGATGCTCTTTCGAGACAGGGTCCCGGTCCTCGACAGCTGGGTGCTCAGATCCTGCGGGGAAACGGGGCTGGGCTGACACAGTCTCCCGCCACCACCTACCCCCACTTCCAGCTTCCTCAGCCCCCGGGGAGAGGGGAGAGGGGAGAGGGGAGAGGGGGACGGGAGAAGAGAGAGGGGCGGGCAAGGACTGGGAGGAAGAGCGAGGCCCTGCAAGTTCCCACTTCCACTTCCCAGCCCACCCCACCCCCTCTCACCCCACCCCGCCCCACCCCCTCTCACCCCTCCCCACCGGCTCGCTCACGGCCCGTCGCCCAGTCTGCCGCAGCCCCACGGAAACCTCAGCACAGTCTGCAGGCCACTTCCTCTGCGCGGCCTCCGCAGCCCAGGGGCCCATCACCCCCTCCCACAGCGCCCCAGCGCCGGCCTGGTGGCTCCCAGCTCAGAGACCCCAGCCTGGGCGTGGGGCTGAGGGAGGCGGGAAAGCGGACCCGGACGGAGGAGCAGACCGTGCAGAGCGGGGTGTCCCCATGATGAGGTGCAAGCCCACGCAGGGGAGCCCCTCTATTGGGTTAGGGTTTCCCCGGGAGAGGGTACAGGGAGCGCCATCCGCTTCTCCACCTCACCGGGGTCAGGGCACAGGGACGTGGGCCAAATCCTAAAGCATTTAGGTTGGGCAGCAGGTGTGGGGGGGTGGGAGGGGGCTGGCACCTGCAGGAGAGACTTCGCTCCCCCTTTCTGAGGGCAAGGGTGTTCAGGATATGGGAGGAGGAGGAGGAGAAGGAGCCATTTAGGTACAGAGGGGCTTTCATCTAACCTGGGGTGCTGGGGTGTGGAGCCAGGGATTGGTCCAATGGGGTAGGGGGGTGTCCTCTCCCCCCTCCCCTCCCCAGTAGATGGGCCGAGAAGAAAATGCCAGAGTCCCGCTCCCCTGTCTTCTCCATGCCCGCCCCCCACCCCCTTAAGCGGCTGCATCCCCGCCCCTTCTCGCCCAACAGTGGCTGTGGGGCGACTTCTCGGTGCCGTGACCTCAAACCTCCAGACAGAGGAAGTCACTGTTCTCATGTGGTGGGGGAGCCATTCTCATGCACACCCGACACCCGCCCTTCCTCCTCTCGCCCTTCACACACACACACACACACACACACACACACACACACACACACACGCCGGCACCACGGCTCAAATGTCAGTCTCAGCAGATCCGAGTGCGGGGTGAAGGCCGGTCACGGAGGGCTGTGCAGGAGCGGGCTGGCTTCAGGAAGCAGGGACGGGAACATGGATGTAGAGGAGAAGTGGGGGCTGGAGCGAAGGGAGCCGTGAGGCAGAAGGGGGGGGCAGGTGGTGGAGAAAGAGGAGGGGCCCTGTCTCTACCTTGATCCCATGGCCAATGTCATCCAGGCAGCCGAAGTTGAGGGGCTTCCGGAAGTAGGGCGTCAGGGGAGGGAGGCTCTCGGGGGCGATGATTTTCTGGCTGGGGTGCAGCCGCTGGACCGTGGCCAAGGTGCCGATCTCCCTCCGGGCCACCTTCTCCATGTGCATGTTCACCATCTGTGCGACGGGGTTCGAGGTGACTGAGGGCAGGGGCAGGCTCCACAGCACCCCTTCCCCCTAAGGGAGGGAGAGGCTAGAGACTCCAGGGTGGGGGCAGGGACGTGGGGAGGTCCAGGGAGAGAGCGAGCTTTGTCCCCGAGGCCACACGGCTTTTGGGAAGAGTGGCCCTGGGAGGATGGAGCCACTTTGGTGCAGCTTCCTGGTGGGAGAGAACGGGGGTTATTATTAGCCGAGCAGGAGCCAGAGGAGCCGAGAAGACGGCAGCCCTGGAGGTGTCGGGGGACTGGGCCGGCTGGGGAGCAGAGAGGGAGAACGGGGAGGCGGCTGGGAGCTGTGGCAGGGTCAGTGCTCCCTTCTGAGGGACACCTAAGTGAATGAATCTCTCTTGGGATGTTTTGTGGAGAAACCTACAGCACGGGGAGGGTAGGATGAGAGGAAGATTACCCCACCCCCACCCCCACGGAACACGGGTCTGCTGCACAGGCCAGGCTGATGTGTGATTGAATCTGTGCCTGTGGTTTATGGGGCAATTAACTCCTCAGCCAAGGATCCAGGAAGGAAGGGGGGGGGGGGGGGTGCTTCCAGAGCTGAAGATGACCTTGCCAAGCAAGCACTCTGGGTCTAGGACATTTATTAAGTTACTAGAGCCGACACCAGTTTGGCTCAGTGGATAGACGCAGGCGTCTTCAAACTTTTTAAAGTGGGGGCCAGATCACGGTCCCTCAGAGAGCTGGAGGGCTGGACTATATGAACTACTAATTCCTACTGTAACACCTCGGCTGCGCTCACTGCCCAAAAAACCTGGCGGGCCGGATCAGACTCCTCTGCGGGCCGCATGTGGCCCGCGGGCCGTAGTTTGAAGACACCTGGTAGAGCATCGGCCTCTGGACTGAAGGGTCCCAGGTTTGATTCTGGTCAAGGGCATGTACCTTGGCGGTGGGCGCATCCCTGGTGGGTGGTGTGCAGGAGGCAGCTGGTCAATGTTTCTCTCTCATTGATGTTTTAGCTCTATCCCTCTCCCTTCCTCTCGTAAAAAAATAACATATATATATTTAAAAAATTACTAGAGGCTCAGTGTACAAAATTCGTGCATGTAGGGGGTGGTCCCTCAGCCCAGCCTGCACCCTCTCACAGTCTGGGACCCCTCAGTCCTTACTGCCTGCCCGCTCTCTGCTCCCTACTCCTCGGCTCACTGCTCCTTAGCGCTGCCTCGGAGGTGGGAGAGGCTCCTGCCACCGCTGCTGTGCTGGCCAGCCATGGGCCCAGCTTCTGGCTGAGCAGCACTCCCCCTTTGGGAGCACACTGGCCACCAGGGGGAGCTCCTGTGCCGAGCATCTGCCCCCTGGTGGTCAGTGTGCATCATAGCGTCCAGTAGCTCTGGTCGATAGCTTAGGCTTTTATTATATAGATTGCCCATGTTTAGATGGAAACAGGGTCCATTTTGCCTCCTTCCTGGACTATGCAGCCACCGTGATTGGTGAACCTGCTTCCTACCACACAGGATAGGAGTCAGAGAAGGAAAGAGCTTTGCCTTCAGGGAGGTCCTGTCTGGTGGGGCAGCAAGGCCCAGCACGGATACTGGCACAAAGATAGGAGGTTCCAATCGCTTGGGCATTGCCAAGCTTCTGTGGCAAAGTCCGACATTTGGATGTGGGAAAAGGCAGCAAGGAAATATCACTGGGGAAAGTGCCCTCGTGGGGCTGGAGACCAGGCGGGGATGCAGGGAGCCTCCCGCTCCTCACCTGGCCCAGCGTGCTCACACGGGCTTCCACCTGCCGCAGAGCGGCCGCCTGCAGGTCCAGCATGCGCACCGTGTTCCCGGCCAGGTTGCCCACCTGGTAGGCCACGCTGGCTAGCGCCTGGGTGGTAAAGGCCATGGTCTCCTCCAGCGCCTTCCGCTTGTCCGTGGCCTGAAATACACACAGTCCTGGTCGGAGGCCAGCCCCTTCCACCGATTCTTTGCTGGAGGGGAGAGGGTACAGGGAAGGTGGGGCTTGGGTTGGGAAAAGCAGCAGCCCTTAGGTGTTTTCCAGAAGAATGATGTTACAGTAGGTGGACTCAGGGGACATCAGAAAAGCAAGTCTGTAGCCCCAGGGAATGGAGGCAAGGGAAGAGAAAGATACCTCTTCTCAAATAGCCAACCTGAGGATTAAGCCTACCACCTTTTTGAGGACCCTTTGGGGGTGGAGGAGTAAAAGGTAAATAGTAAAGAGAGGGAAAGGCAATACTGATTGGAGGAGATCTCAAACTTAAAACCCACCTGACCTTCTGGGAAGGTCAGGCCCTCATCCCAGACCTTCTAACGGGGATCCTGTGGGAGTGGGGCTGGTGAGGCTGTGCCTTTAAAAGCTCCCCAGGGGACTCCTGTGCTCTTCTGCAGGTGGGTATTTGGGGGACACTGATTTGGTCCATTTTATAGATAAGGAAATTGAGGCCCAAAGATAGTTACCTCATTCCTTCCTTCCTTCCAATAGTTTCCGTACACGGAGGATATTAGTAAACTAACTAACCATGGCCCATATAGGACCACCACAGGCTGGATCCTGATTTCTCTTCGCCCTCATTTCCCACCACTCCCTCTCTCACTCGCTCCCCGCCCCTAGCCACAGAGGCCGTGGGTTTCTGTTCCTGATCAAGCTAAGACTGTTCCTACCTCAGGGTCTTTGACTTGTGCTTATTTCCAGAAACCTTCTTACTGTTAAACCTCAGCTCCTCAGAGACACCTTCCCTCACCACCCGATGATTTTCCCCAGCTTACTTCTGTTTCAACAAACATATTTACCCTGTTCTCTTCTCTTCAAAGCACTTAGTGCTATCAGCAATTGTTTATCTATTTACTTTATATCTACTACACAGATGCGCGCACACACACACACACACACACACACAGTGAGGGCAAGGAGCATTTCTGTTTTATTCTCTATCCCGTCTTGGAATAGTGTCCCCTACACAGATGATAAAACATATGCATTTCTGAATTAATTAATGGAGCTCATGTAAACCCAAATGCTTGCTGGGCATCTTCCCACGGTATTCCAGGCACTGTGCCAGGGGCTGAGCAGGGTCACACTGCCGGGCAGCGGTGAAAGGGGTGGGCAGGGAGTGGCTTGAGACAGAAGAGGGACTTTTTGTTTTTTTCAGTTCCAGATCCCACTGTGGTGGTTGGAACAAAACTTCTCGGGTCATTTGGTTCCCCAGTCAGCTTCCTCATCGCTGAGGGTCGTGGAGTGGCTGCATTCTGGCCTGTACCTTTGTGGGGATGGGAAGGAAAGTCCAGGGCAGACAAGGCTGCCCCGGGGCGTCTCAGCACCCAGGTGCCCTCAAGGCCAGTCAGTGAGAACCTATCAGAGCTGGGTGCTCAGGAGACCTGGGTGCCTCCAATGTAGCTTGAGTTAGAATCTTCTGAATGGCCCCTCCTGTGTTACTCCTCTCAGGAGTCCCGCCTGCCTTTCTGTCCCAACACCAGTTAGGGGATGCTCATTTGCAAGTAATTTACATCTCATTAGCATATACAACCAAAAACAATCAAGTATTTTTTAAATCCTTAACCGAAAATAAGTTTGGAGAGAAAGAAAGGAGAGAGAGAGAGAGAGAGAGAGAGAGAGAGAGAGAGAGAGAGAGAGAGAGAGAGAGAGATCTGCAACCAGGCATGTTCCTGACCGAGATCAAACCTGCTACCTTTTGGTATATAGGACACTGGCCAGGCAAACCCAGGATGTTAAAACCAGAAAGAGTAACAGGTCTTGTTCTAGTTCAACGCCTCCCTTTAATAGGCCCAGAGGGATCAGGAACCACTCATTTGGTCTGCACCCAAATTTGTTGGCTCAACTCTCCTGTTCTGTTCCCTCCCGGGACTGGCATGTGGAAGGTGTCACTGGATTTTTTCTGTCATCCCAAACAGGGAAAACGTCTGCTCGGTCCCAGCTCCTGCAGGCTAGAGCCTGGATGGCCGCTAACCCCTGGGTCTTGGACCAAAGTCAGGTCTGGAGGTCAAGGGTTTGGGACCTATCTTCATGACTGACTGCTTATTTCTTAAGCAAATTACCCTGACTGTAAGCTCCCTGGACCCTGACAGAGCTCTGCAGCTGACCCCACTCCCCAAGGGTTTCCTGTCACCTGCTTGTGGTACAGGGTGCGGGCTGGGGGAGGACTGAGGGCCTGGGAACCAGGCCTTGTTAAAAAGCAGTTTTAAGCCAAAACCGGTTTGGCTCAGTGGATAGAGCGTCGGTCTGTGGACGGAAAGGTCCTGGGTTCGATTCCGGTCAAGGGTTGCGGGCACATCCCCCCGTGGGGGGGTGCAGGAGGCAGCTGGCCAATGTTTCTCTCTAATCGATGTTTCTAGCTCTCTATCCCTCTCCCTTCCTCTCTGTGAAAAATCAATAAAATATATTAAAAGAAAAGAAGCAGTTCTAAGAAGTCATCCAGATCCTTCTCGGCATTGGCTCTTCAGATAAAAATCCTCCGAGAGGCCAGAAAAGGGACTTGGTTCTGTGGGCCCACGGTTAGAGTTCTGCCTGGGGGAGGCAGGAGTCCAGGAATGCCCACCTGGGTCAGAACTCCTGTCCCCGGAGTTTCGCAAGGGCTGCTCCACCCCACTGCACCTGACTGTTGTTATCTACGTGTGTCTGTCATCCTTCTGATGAATAAGATGATGGTGGTGATAATAATAGTAACAGCTGCCATGTATCCTGGCCTGTTTTGTTTTTATTTTTTTAATATATTTTATTGATTTTTTTTTACAGAGAGGAAGAGAGAGGGATAGAGAGTTAGAAACATCAATGAGAGAACCATCAATCAGCTGCCTCTTGCGCGTGCTCGCGCGCACACACACACACACACACTGGGGATATATCGCAACCAAGGTACATGCCCTTGACCGGAATTGAACCTGGGACCCTTCAGTCTGCAGGCCAACGCTCTATCCACTGAGCCAAAGCGGTTTCGGCCATCCTGGCCTGTTTAAGGGGCAGGCCCTGGACTGAGGGGAGAGTGCTTTGCGATGTGTGGAGCTGATGGAAGGAACGAGATGGAACACTTCCCTCCTGGTCACCAGGAGGAGCGCGCCTGCGGAGCTGGGGGAACGCGGTGCTGGGGACACGGAGCTGGTTCACAGGCCAGCCCACACCGACGCAGTCAGAAATGGCGCCTGGGTCTGAATCCGGTTCGGCCCCTAGCTCGAACACCTTGGGAAAGTGAGTTCACCTTCCTGGACTTCAGCCTCCGGTTGTGAAGTGGGAGTGTCCTCCCCTCACAGGACTGGGGCGAGGACTAAAGGAAGCAACCCACGTGCTCAAAGTAAGGGGGCCGAGGGTTTTAACTATTATCATCATTGACTCTCTTTTTAAAAATATGCCTTATTGGTTTTTAGAAAGAGGAAGGGGAAGGGATAGGGAGATAGAAACACTGATGAGAAACACCATCAGTCGGCTGCTTCTTACACATCCATCCCTCACGGGGGAAATTATAGATAATTTCCTTTTCTATAAAATGGACCAAATCAATGCCCTGACCAGAAATCCAACCAGTGACCTCTTGGCTTATGGGCTGATGCTCAACCACTTAGCCACACTGGCCAGGCTCATCGACCCTCTCTTTCCCATAAACACTTGCTCCTTTTATTATTTATTTATTTATTTATTTATTTATTATTATTATTATATGCTCTTATTCATCTGGGAGTCCCTGGGCCTCCTCTCAGTTTGATCAGAACAGGTTGGAAGAATGAAAATGAAGGTTTGCTGAAGGGATTAGAGGCTTAGTCTGTAGCCCTGCAGGGGGCAGAGGAAACCGAGGACAGAGAGTGCAGATAAACCGTCTTAAAGCCATACAGCAGGTCAGACAGGCGGGAAGGTGGGGAGGCGGCTTCAGAGTCAGAAGACCTGGGCTCTGCTGTTTCCAAGCGGTGTGACCTGGGTCCCCCCGCCTCCCTGCACTGCTGCCTCACAGGGGTCACCTGGACTCGTGAAATGACACAGGTGCTCCGTCATTAAGTCTTTCTCCTTCCTCCTCCCTTGACCCCGGAGTCCACAGGCTCAGGCCACCTGCTTTCTCCTGGGACCACCACCCAGTTTAGGAAACTGCTCGGATATATATATCCTATATCCTCTTCGGCTGGTGGGCTGCTCTCTACAGTCACGTGTTCATCCCCTGGCCTGTGTCAGACTGACCCCTCTCCTGAACACGACCTCCTCTCTCTGCTCTCCCACGCTCCCTGTCCATCTCAAGCCCACTACGATGCTTGGGAAGCCCTGCGGAAGTCTCCCCTACAGCCAGCCCGCCAAGGACAGACGGCGCCAACGTGTGTGTGTGTGTGTGTATGTGTGTGTGTGTGTGTGTGTGTGTGTGTGTGTGGACGAGCCTCTGGGCCTGAGGGTGTGAGGGAGAGGCTGGGAGGGAGATGGACCGGCTGAGGCTGAGAAGGATGGGGTAGGGCGCCCGCACATGGGAGTCTTTGGGAGAGAAGAGGGCACCGAGGGGGCTTGGGTAGCACAGGATCACGGTTAAAGCCTGGGGGACTGGGTGGAAGCTGAGGCCTGGAGCGGGAGGATCTCTCAGCCAAAGCCCCGGACAAGCACCTGTCAGGACGGTGCCCATGGCCTTGCCCGGGGGATGGCCTTGCCTGGGGCCCCTCTAGGGATGGGGTGCCTGGCCGGCCCTCGCGGCCTACCTGTGCGTAGTTGTCCTCGCAGTAATCGGCCACGCGCAGCAGGGCGCTGTGGTTGCCCAGCAGGGCCTCCCGGCCGGTGGGGATCTCCAGCTCCTGCAGCTGCTGCAGCTCTGCCATGGCCCCGCTCTGCCTGCGCCCCAGGGCGCCCGGTTTTGTGCCTCGCCCGGCCCCCGATTGGCCGCGCGGCCTCCCCTCCCTCTCACCGCGCTCGGTTTCCTCTTCGTGAGAGACCGAAACCTGCTCGCGAAGGGCAGGCGTGCTCGCTCCGGGACAAGAGGAAGTCGGGGCCCGGGCCCGGCCCGCGCCTGGCTGTCCCCTGCCCAGAGGAAGGGGACAGCGATGGTCCCGTCGGGGCCCAGCCTCCCAGCCTCTCCCAGCAGAGGAAGTCAAGGTCGGGGCGTCTGTGATTGCTCCTGGGCCTGGAGAGGAAGCTGTGCTGGGGGAGGGAGGAGGGGTGGGTGGGAGGAAGGGGGTGGCCTGCTGGGGGGGGGGGGGGGGCGTGGAGACACATTTTCCACTCAGGGATGGGAGGAAAGGGCAGAGGGCGGGGGCTTCCTTGGGAAGCCCAGGGATGAGTCACGAGGGACAGCAGAGAGGAGGGTGGAGAGGATATGGAGACCAGTCGTGGGGGGGGCAGGGAGGGGGGGAGGGTGGTGGAGCAGCAACAATGGAAGACGGACAATGCAGCAGGAGGAAGGACCAGACAGGCAGAGTCCCCGCGGAGTGCTGTCCAGCCTCTGCGGCTCCGCGGTGCACACGCTCCGTGCTCGATGGAGGATGGAGGCGGGAGGAGGTGCAGGGGACACGTGTGGTGTGCGGGACTCGGTTAGACCACAGGAAGGACTCGGCTTTGAGAAGCACCAGGGTCACGTTCCCGATGAGCTGCTTGGGCTTCGGGAGCGGCGGGGGCTAGCGCTGCGCAGGCTCTGCTCCCCGCGTTAACGGGGAGCTGGCGAGATGGCCTCGGGGTCCTGTCCTGCTCTCACGTTCTTAGAAATCCCGAGCCTCCGCCAAAACCGATTTGGCTCAGTGATAGGGGTGTCGAACTCAATCAGAGAAGGGGCCAAAATCTAAAATCCAGCCTAAATCGCGGGCCGAATGGTTTACTGAACAGTCATAAACTGTCATTGTGATGGAAACGCAGCGGAGTGCAGTGATGACAGCGCGGTGTGGGCCACATTGCAAGACCTGGCGGGACGGATTTGGCCCGAGGGCCTTGTGTTTGACACATGTGGAGAGCATCGGCCTGAGGACTGAAGGGTCCCAGGTTCGATTTTGATCAAGGGCCTGTACCTTGGTTGCGGGCACATCCCCAGTAGGGGGCGTGCTAGAGGCAGCTGATGGATGACTCTCATCGATGTTTCTGACTCTCCCTTCCTCTCTGTAAAAAATAAAAAATATATATTAAAAAAAGAAAGAAAAAAAATAAGGAAAGAAAGAAATCCCGAGCCTCCTCCCAGCCCCTCTGAGCACCCAGCCTGTCACCCTAGGGCAGGAGGAAAAGAAGATCGCTCACTGACCATGTTGTCTTTTATACTATATATATTATTGATTTTTTACAAAGAGGAAGAGAGAGAGGGATAAAGAGTTAGAAACATCGACAGTAGAGAATCATCGACCAGCTGCCTCCTGCACATCCCTCACTGGGGATGTGCCCACAACCAAGGCACATGCCCTTGACCGGAATCAAACCGGGACCCTTCAGTCCGCAGGCCGACGACGCTCTATCCACTGAGCCAAACCGGCTTCAGCGACCATGTTGTCTTCCAACATCTGCTCCTCCGGAGGGTCCTTCGTCATTGGACAGGAGCTCAGTGTCTGTCACCTTGGGTGGTCCTGGGAGGAGACCAAGAGAAAGATCAGGGCACATGCCCTGTGCCCTCTCCCTCTGCCCTGCGCTGAGGGGACCCACACCCAGGCTCAGGGAGGCATGGAGGCAGAGGCCTGGCAGTGGGTGTTCGAGGTGGCCATGGCCCCTAGCGCTGGTGGACACGGCATCCTGTGAGAACACGTTATTGAACGAGTGGATGGTGAGTGAGCTGGGAGAAGCTTATAAAGCGAAACTGTGGGGAAGCAGGCTGTCAGCCAGGGGGACCCTAAGGGGCGGGGCTTATGCAGGGGCAGGGAGTCTGGCCGGGGGGCTCTGAGCTTGGCGGGCGTGGAACCGTGAGCCTATGATCAGCTTAGACATCAGAGACTCGGGCTTCCAGACCACCTGCTTTATCCACAGACTTCCGCTGATGAGGCGGCGGCTCAGACACCATCTGACTGGGCTGGGCACAGTGATTGGAGTGCACGCTCTCGGCAGGTGAGAGGGCCTGAGGCTGCAGCGGGCTGGGATCTGGTCTTAGAATCGCTGAAGCGAGGCACCTGGCAGGCCTTTCTGATAACTGTGTAACGATGATGTCAACGGTGGTGATAACGGTAATAAATGTGTTCGGTATGTGCCAGGCAATGTATTAATATTTTAAATGCATTATTTTTTTTTAGTACTCACAATACTCGTGTAAGGTAGGTACCATTATTATACCCATTTTGCAGATGGGGAAACTAAGGCTCAGGAAGGCTGAGTGACTTGCCTACGGCCTCGCTGCTTGGAAGCAGCAGAGCTGGGATCAGAGCTGGAGTCTCACAGGCTCCACGCCCTTCTCCTAACCACTGGGGTTCCCTCTCCCCTGACGGCACCTGGAGTTTCCTTAAAACTTCTACCTGTGGAGTACGTGCAGCCATACTTTGCTTCCCCAGTCTTGCTCACAGAAAGAGACTCTTTTTAAAAAAAATTTTAGTTGATTTCAGAGTTCTCCTCTGCCTCTGTGGCAACCCTCCAAGTGTGTGTTCTTCCCCACGTAAACGTGTTCTTTTCTCCAGACTCTGAGCTTCCTCAGCCTCCTCTGTTTTGATGTCTTTCTAGCAGTTTCCAATACTGAGCCGACTGTGGCTCGGACACAGAGAAAAGGACTTTGCAATGACTATTTTACTGATCCTCGCAACACTGCTCTTCAAAAGGCGCCATAACTGTCCTTTTCCAGATAAGGCTCAGAATATTTATTTTTAATTGCCTCAGGCCTTATTGACATAGAATGGACAGATGGCTGTATAAATGATAATGGGAAAATGTTGCAACTTCTGAACATTTAACTTTCGTGCCCAACCGTCCCCGGAAGCCAGTGGCAGGATGAAATGTGTCGGTGTCTCTGAGTGAGGCCTGGAATGGAGCCTGATCCCCCAAGTGCACCAGGCTGGCTCAGGGCAAACGATCTTTATCCCGGGTCCCTCTCTGTGGCTTACCTTTTTTTTTTTTTTTTTTAACCCATTATAAAAAAAATTTTATTTAGTTAGTTAATCCTCACCAGAGGATTGGTTTTTTAGAGAGAGTGGAAGGGAGGAGGAGACAGAAACATTGATGTGGGAGAAACACATGGATTGGTTGCCTCCTGTACTTGCCCTGACCAGGGCTTGGGATTGAGCCTGCAACCTAGGTACGTGCCCTTGAACGAAATCGAACCCAAATCGGCTATGGGCTGTGGCTTACCTTTTCACTTTCTTTCTTTTCTTTTTTTTAAATATATTTTATTGATTTTTTACAGAGAGGAAGAGAGATGGATAGAGTTAGAAACATCAATGAGAATCATCAATCAGCTGCCTCTTGCACACCCTCTATTGGGGATGTGCCCGCAACCAAGGTACATGCCCTTGACCGGAATCGAACCTGGGACCTTTCAGTCTGCAGGCCGATGCTCTATCTACTGAGCTAAACTGGTTAGGGCTACCTTTTCACTTTCTTATTGGGGTCTTTGATAAGAACATATAATATTATATTACTAGAGGCCTGGTGCATGAATTTGTGCATGAGTGTGGTCCTTCGGGCTGGCCTGCAATTGGAGCCATCGGGCCATCGGGCCTGGCCTGGGAGAGGGGCTGAGCTGTGGGAGCGCACTGACCCCCTCACTCCTGCATTGAGTGTCTGCCCCCTGGTGGCCAGTAATGGTTGCTTAGGCTTTATATATATAGATGATGACATATATCAAAATTTTAGAATCTACTGTCTTAAGATTTTCCCTACTCTGATGTCATGAACATATTCTCCAATGTTGTTTTCCAAAAGCTTTATTGCTTTTCCTTTCAAAGGTCTGCAGTTCCCATGGAAGGTATTGCCCTGCTTAGTGTAAGTTGGGAGGAATTTGATTTCATATTTTTCCATATGACACGCATGGTCCCAGAATAATGTATTGAACAGTCGGCCCTTTTCCCCACTTCCCTATTGTGCTACCTTTGTCATATATCACTTGTCCAAGAATGTTCGGGGCTGCATCTGAGCTCTCTCTTCTGTTCCACTGGTATGTCTGCACCAGTAAGTAACCTTGCACCAGTTTCACACTGTCTCAATCCCTATAGTTTATAGTTGATGATAAGCTTTAATATCTGACAGAGCAAGTTCTCCCACCTTATGTCTATGTACCTTTGAGGCTGAGATGGCTCGTACACACAAATCCATGGGTATCTTTAAGGAGTGAGTGGGAGGGGGTGGGGTGCAGAGGAGGCTCATGGGAGAGATTCAGAGCAGCGCCAGGATCCTCTCTGTAACCATGGCATGTTCCCACGGGGCGGGAATGAATAACCACAGTGCCAATCACCCTGCAGGGAGATCACAGATGCGTCATCGGGCCCTCGTCCCTTATCCCAGAGGGACAGACAGCTCTCAGAACCCAGATGCCAATCCAAAGAAAACAACACCACATGCCCATCTTTCCCCTGCCGTCCCAGAATGCGCCCTTTCCTGCAAATCACCTGGGCCCGGGAGGCACCAAAAACCTGGGTCCAGCACAGACTCATCAATAGAGAGATTTTGCTCAATCCTGTTGGTAAACCCTGTAAACATCCCTCCTCCTCCCCTCAGGAGAAATCGTGCATGGATAAAGTGAGAAACAGACAGCAGACATGTTCTGAGCCGCCGAGACAGACTGAAGAATGGGTATGCTTAATGAAGGAGGTTTGGTTTGGTTTTGTTTTTTTGGTTGTGTGTGTGTGTGTGTGTGTGTGTGTGTGTGTGTGGTTTCCTGATTGAAGGACACAGAGTGAATGGTGTAGGAAATATAGTCAACAATATTGTAATAACTGCAACCAGTGCCAGTTGGGAACTAGAAATATCAGGAGAAAGGGACCCTTATAACATAGATGATTGACTAAACACTATGTCTACACCTGAAACTAATACAAAATAAAATAGAATGCAAACTGTAAATGAAAAAAATATATATATATATTTATTATTATTATTATTATTATAAGAATCTAAAGGAAAACGACAGAAAACCTCACTGCCCACTGCCTGAATAACGGACAACCAAAACACATACACACATACACACACACAACACACACACACACACACACACACTCCAATACCAAACGG